GACTTGGGGCAACTGGAGTCTCACAGTCTCCAATGCTGTAGCCCCTGAAGCCGTTGAGGCCCGCCTTCTCCAGCTTCATTGCCAGGTCGCAGCGTTCATAGATCTTGGCATCCACAGCGGCAACCATCAACATGGCCAGGGTCACCACCGCCATGCCCCAGGCTTGCATTATGATACCCACAAGCCCTCCTAGCTGACTCCTTGCTTCAGACTCACTCTGAAGTATTCAGAACTAGGGGCGTTCTGGAACTCTGGGCTCTGTGAGCAAAGATCTAAGTGATAGATTCTGGAACACAAAAGCCAGAGGGCTGGGCATCTCACCATCTTCCCCAGTGTCAGCTCTGTTAGACACACACAAGGAAAAAGAAATATACTGACGTATACACAGAGGTGGAAGGAGACAAAAGCAGGGAGAAACCCAGAGATGTCAGAAAGAGATGCAAGGAGAGAGGGGCTGAGGACATACAAAGGACAGACAGGACTCGAGGACTATACCTCATAACTCAGACCACATTCCTCAACAGTGCCCCACTCTACTCCTGCTAATCATGTTCTACCACTTGGTTACCTTCATGTCCATTCACTTTGCCCCTCATCGCCTCCATTCCCCCAACTCTGCTGAGTAGTCAGCTCTGTTCACTACACTGTGCCTACTCTCACCTCGGATTCCTCATGCTCTGCAAAATATGACCACCATGCCCTTGCCCTCTGCCTCTCATTACCTCCATGTACTCTTTCTCAGCACTTGTCTTCACTTATTGCGCCCCATTCCACCATAATTTACCGGAATCTGACCCACGTTACCCCCATTCAGTCACACTCTGCCCCACATTACATATTACACATGATATATTACATATATATATATACACACCGTGCTGCTTTTTCACCTCCATTCTCATTCTACTCTTTTCTCCCCCATTCACTTACACTGCCTCTTATCCACTTCCATTCATTCACACTGGGCTCCATATTACCACAATTCCCTAGCCCTCTACTTACCATTATACACATTCTCTCATATCATGTTCCTTCTTCACCTCCATTCACTCTTATTCAGACTCTCATTTGCTACTTTCACCTCCATTTCCTGTCACTGCATCAAATGACTCCTGTTCACTCTCACGTGGCCCATGCTTCAGCTTTGTTCATTGACTCTTGGCCTCATCCTCTCTCTCATTCACTCTCTTTCTGCCCCTTCTTCACTTCTATTCTCTCAAATGCTGCTCCCATATTACCCCCATTTCCTGGAACATTGCCCCGTGTTACTCCCAAACACTAGCTCAAGTTACTCACATATACTCACTCTACACTTGGTCACCTCCGGTCCTTCTCAATTTGCTTCTCATTGTCTCCATTTACTCTCACTCTGCCTTTTTATCCCATTCATTTAAATTCACTCCTAATGTAACCCCTATTTCCACTTATCACTCCTGTTCTGCTCCTGATTCATGTCTAGTTGCTCCCACTCTGTCCCACATTACCCACAGTCAATCACACTCTACCTCGAATTCACCACTTTTTGCTCACATTGGGCCCCATTTTACCCACTTTACTCACCTTGGGCCATGTGACCTTCAATCCCCTCTCCCTTTCCTCACAAAACCCAGTTACTCACCTTCTTCTGCTCTTTACTTCCATTCCCTCTCACTCTGCCCAATGTGACCTCCATTCATACACATGCTTCAGCTCATTCACCCAGGCCAATTCACAGTGGGATCCCTGTATGTCCCTGGAACACTGCCCCGCGTGACCCTATCTAATCTCAGTCTGCCCCTCATTCACCTCGGCACTCTCCTTCTCCCGCATAGTATCCCCACTCAGAGAAACTTGACCTGACTCACATATTCACATTCTATCACATATGTATTCATCTCCATTCCCTCTTATTCTGTCCCTTGTGTACCCCATTCTTCCCTCTGTGCCCCACATTTCCTCCATTCACTACCTTCCCCCTAAATTCACCTCTCTTTACTCACACTGTGTCTCATAAACATTCATTCACACTCTAATCCTTAGAGCTCACATCAATTCTAATGCTTTATCAACTCCATTCACATTCACCACCTTTCATTGCCCCATTCACTCAGTTTGCTCCCACTTTCACTTTTTGTCACTTAGACTATGTCTCCTTTTCCTATCATTTACTCAGTCTCCTCCATAATTTCAAATTAATTAAAAATCGATGCATAGTCATTCCCTCCCTCTGCCCTGTGTTACCCACATTCACTCCACGGTACTGCTCATTCACCTCCATTCCATCGCCCTTGTCTCTCCTTGCCCCCATTCATTCCCACTTTGTCATTTATTCACCATTATCCCCACCACCACCAGTCTCATGTGTTTCCTGTTTACTGACACTCACATCAGCCAGGACAGAACAGTCTGATGTATCAATCAGGATTTGGTTTGGCTGTACATACCAACACCATCACAAATACCAGTGGCTTCAGAGGATGGAAGAGGTCTCCTCTCTTGGAGGCAGGTAGTTCAGGGCCAGCATGGCAGCTCCACGGGCACCAGAGAACTGACTTCTTCTGTGCTGTTGCTCTGCCAAACTCACCTGCTACCTCAGAGCCCAAAATGACTGCTCACAATTGGCAACACTTTCATAGTTTTGCTAAAATTTCTCTTAAGAGCAATTGTAATGATGACACACCAGGTGAGGTGGGAGGGCCTTTGGGTGGGAGTGTCATGTCGTGCAGACTCTGTGGTGGGACCAGCTACCTGTCAGCTTCCACACTCCTTCACCTAGCTAGCTGCTGCTTAGGCCACTGTATGAGGAGGTCACACCTGTAGGGACTGATGGTAGAGGATGCCCAGGAGAAAGAGGCAGGGTCCTAGCTGTGCAGCAGAAAAGCTGGCCTCACAGAGCTCGTGGATGTGCACTGTGAACTCTGCGACAGTTTCTGAGGGTCTGTATCACTGGCTCAGGAACGTTTCTGGATCTGGTAATAACTGTACCCCAACACCCACCAACCCTGAAGGATTTTCCCCCATATAGGAGTGTGTGTGTGCAAAGTGGTGGGGAAATGATGTTTGCAAGCTGGACGAGGACTACAAGTCCAGCCCCTCCTATTTTGACCTCCTAGTGCATTCGGAGAGCTGACAAGTTTTGTACCCAGGAGGTACTGATCCGTCAGGGAGCAAGAGATCTGTATTACTCCCCTGCTTTCTCTCTTTGCTTTGTCTGCTAGGAAGCTCCATCTATATTTCTGGGAAAAACATTCCTTGGCTAGTTTTAATGGTTCTGGAATGAGGACCCTCAGATACTTTCTGGACGTTCTGTGGGATATTGAATAAGCAGAGTATGACTGGGTGGAAGTTAAGGATCCTACCTCGGGAACTTGTGTGACCTTGGGCAAGTTACTCAATCTCTCTGGGACTCAGTTTCCTCATCTGACAAGTGGGGGTGCATGGGACTGTTTACAGATAGTGGAGACTATCTGAGGCAGGTCATGTCATGTGCTTCACACAGTACCTGGCACATAGGAGACACTGAGCTCGGTCTGAGCCCCTATATCACTTGCTTGGCTTATTGGCAGGAGCCTCCTCCCTGGTATTCCTGTTTTCGTCCTTTTCCTCTGCAGTCTGTTCTCCACAAAGCAGCCTGCAGGTCATCCTTTAATTTTTTTCCTTCTTACTAAAAAAAAAGTTTTACACATACACGTCTAATTTTATTTAAATAATAATAATAATAATAACAATCACTTATTTAGTACTTGCTTTGTGCCAGGCATTGTTCTAAAGCCTTTACAATGATCAATTCATTTGTCACCACAACCCTAATGAGGTAGGCACTGTCATTATGCCCGTTTTATAGATGAGGAAGCTTAGGACAGAGAAGTTAAGAGTCTTGCCCGAGGTTTCACAGCTAGTAGGTGAGGGTTTGAAACCAGGCTGTCTCCATTGTGTTACTTTGTTTTTTTGATTCTGTTTTCTTCCCTGTTATAGTCCCAATGTCTAGAACCCTACCTGGCATGCAGGAAATGCTTAAGCAAATTCCAGTGGAGCTCCTGTTCTAGTGGTGCAAGACACGCCATAAACAAGAGTTGAATATATGTGTATTTGTAACGTTAGTATATAATGCTAGATGGCTGCAGACTGGTCTTTTAGAAATCTGATCCCTTTAGGGCTTCTCATCGTGTCTATTAAGTCCAGAATGAAACATGAGCTCTGGCCCTGGCAGAGGAGGCTCTACAGCATCTGGCCCCCACTCACCTCTCCCTTGCCTGCACCTCCTACACTCCCAACACGCTGCCACTGTTTCTGTTCCTCCGACATGCCAAACTAGATCCTCCTTCAGAGCCTTTGCAACAGCAGAGCCCTCCACCAGAAAGCTCTTTGCTTCAAATAGTCATGTGGCTGGCTTCTTTTAGTCAGCGTAACTGTGACCTCCGACGAAAAGAGATCATCCCTGCCCATCCAGAGAAAGCAACCTGTCAGCCACTGCTCACATCTCCTTCACCCCAGAGTGTGTGTGGGGGGTTCTACGCCGCCGTTTATTTATTCTTCAGCTTCTTGTTTGCATACGCTAGACTGTAAACTCCCAGCCCTCGCCACTGGACAGAGCCAGTGACCTTTCCCCACTTTGTGTATGCAATGCAATTCTGCCACGCATCCCGTCTTCCCGTTCAATTACACCTGCAAACCGGATGCTGCCCTCCAATTTCAAGACACCAAATTCCCGCCTGCTAGAATTTTCCTTAATTGGACACATGCCCGCCCCGCCATAAGGAAATTGGTCTTTGAAGTCTGAGGAAGGACGGCCACCAGAGAACAAAGTAAACACCTGCTAAACGCTGCCGCCCTGGAGGAGAAGCGACTCGGTGGGCTCGGCCAGCTCCTCAGAGCAGTGACGTCACCAGCACGGGCATCTTCCCTCTGCGCCTGCGCCGCAGCCCCATAGCGTTCGCGTCGGACTGGCGGGAGGGGGCCCCATGTTAACTACTGGCAAACGCGGGCTCAAAGCCCTCACTGAGCATGCGCACACCCGGCCGCTGCAGCCCTGCAGGCTGCCGAGCCCGAGTCGGTCCCGAAGCGGAAGTGCTCCTCCGGGCCAGTGTTGTAACGGTCTCCTCTGCAGCGAGCAGAAAATCTGTTGTCGAGAGAGAGGTTGAGGGGGCGAGAGCTAGGGGTGATGGCTGAGTGATGGGGAGTTCTAGGGGACGAGTGAAGGGGGATTTGTGGGGGTCATTGACGTGGGGGCTTGTGGGGTGAGTGATGGGGGACCGAGAGGTCAGTCAATGAGGGTATGTGGGCTCAGTGGTGGACAAAGTTATGGGGCTAGTCAGGGTTGAATGGGGCTTATTCAACTTTGACTTTTACACATTTTCCAGCACAGTGACCTGCGCTGAGGGTTCTTACGCATCCCTCAGGCCCCTCCTTCGGAGCGCCCCGCCTCTCCCTCTGCTCCTCTCCCCTTGCCCCAGCCCCTAGGTAGGGGCCTGGCGTGGATGCTCCAGCTGAAGTGAATCTGCATCCGAAGGCTTCCTTCCGGCTCCTGGGCAAGACGGCCCCAGTGAGGTGAGGAGAAGCAAGAGGCACCTGAGACGACTCACCTGCCTGGGGGCCTCACGCAGAGCTGGGGCTGGGGGAGTGGGCGGGGCCTGGTGCTGCGCGATCTGGGGGGATGGGCTTAAAACGTCAAGGGGATAATAGTTTTAAAGTTCAGGTTTTTTGGCGTTTAATAAGTAAGTAAAACATTTTAATTATGGATTAATTAGAAAATAGAGGAAAAGAATCAAAAGGAACTAGTTTTATGCCCCTACATTTAAATGTCCATTCTTAGACATTTTTTAGTGTGTATAAGGGGTATTTGTAAACATTTAACATATAGTTTTCTAATGGGCTCCTGCAGTTTTATAACCTGCCTTTTTTTGCTTAGAAGTTTACTCTGATTCAGATTAAAAATTTATAACATTTAAAACTTTTAATTTAGATATATGTACAGAAAAGTATACAGATAAGTGTACAGTTCCATACATTATTTTTAATAGCTACATAGCATTTCATTCCGTGTATTTTCTTATTAATCCCGTATTATGGGTCATTTACGATCATTTAAGTTTGGTATTGTTAAAATCAGTGCTGAGATGAAGGTACTTACAGAGAAATTATGATACAATATTTCATTAAGGAAAATATCTAGAAATACAATTTCTGCGTCAGTATACAAGCGTGTATATATACATACATACATAAAACCTTTTGGGGGCTGGCCCGGTGGCACAGCAGTTAAGTGCACACATTCCGCTTTGGCAGCCCAGGGTTCGCTGGTTCAGACCCCAGGTGCGGACATGGCACTGCTTGGCAAGCCACACTGTGGTAGGCGTCCCACATATAAAGTAGAGGAAGATGGGCATCGATGTTAGCTCAGGGCCAGTCTTCCTCAGCAAAAAGAGGAGGAATGGCAGCAGTTAGCTCAGGGCTAATCTTCCTCAAAAAAAAACCTTTTTGTGTTAGATATTTACATGAGGAAAAGAGTCAAGAATACACAGGTAGTTGTTACAACTACGTGGTTGCCCACACCTCCGCAGAGCGGCCTCATGCACAGCTCGTGTCAGGGGATTTCTAGGCAGATAATTCTGGGCACTGGAAGCCTGATGGGGTCTCTCATATGCTCTACTGTTTTCCACTTTTCCAGCTCTGCCTTCACACATCTCTGCCTTTCCCCAGAAGAGCAGGAAATGGCTGCATCCCAGGTAAGTATGTTGTTTATCTGTTCTTTCCTCTATTTTATCATGGATGTGATGAGCTTTGTAGGAATCTGTGACATAAAATAGGAAATTGTAGATAAGCAGTAGGAACAGGGGAAATGAGAGCAGTTCGAGGCCAAGGTAGAATGTAGAAGACTTAGGTGTGACAGATACTAATGTTGAGCTGCACATTTCTCTGTGAGCCTCTGGCAGCCAGAAGAAAATGTAACCAGTAACCTGACTCACCTTACTTGTCAGGAGAGAGCACACCAAGTCCTCAGGGAAGTAAAGGTTTCCTACCCTTGCTTGCAAGGCATTTCTTTGCTGGGTCTTCATGTGGATGGTGGAATTGTCTTCCACCACAGCCTGCTGAGAAACGCAGTCCCTGGTTTCCTGCAGCTCTTTCCTATAGCATTCCTCAGTGAGCTGGAGACATTATGTTGAAGTGTAATTTGGCACTGAAATATCGTAGGGAACTTGCTTGTCTTTCAAATGATTTTCTCGAAGTAATTTTCTCACTTGGACTTTTGATTCTCATTTGGCCAAGAGGCAGAGTTTTATCTTATCTGTAGTTTGATCTTTTCAAGAATGTCATATAAGTGGAATCGTATGGTATGTAGCCTTTTTTTTTTAAAAAAAATTTATCTTGCTAGGATTTTGATAGGAATTGAGTTAAATCTGTAGATAAGTATGGGGAGCACTGATAACTTTATTATGTTGTGTTTTCCAATCCATGAATGTAGTATGTCTCTCCATTTATTTAGATCTTCTGGGTTTATTTCATCAATATTTTGTAATTTTCAACATGCAGATCCTACACATGTGTATTAGTCTTCTCAGGCTGCCATAACAAAATGCTACAGACTGAGTAGTTTAAACAACAGAAGTTTATTTTCTCACCACTCTGGAGGCTGGAAGTCCCAGATCAAGGTGCCATCAGGGTTGGTTTCTGGTGAGAGTTCTCTTCCTGGCTTGTAGACAGTGGCCTTCTCACTGTGTCCTCACATGGCCTTTCCTCTGTGCTTGTGCAGAGAGAAAGAGAGATCTCTGGCGTTTCTTCTTCTTATAAGGACACCAGTCCTCCTGGATTAGAGCCTCATTCTTATGACCTCATTTAACCTTAATTCCCTGCTTAAAGGCCCCATCTCCAAATAAATTCACCTTGGGGGTTAGAGGTTCAACATAGGAATTTTGGGGGGACACAATTCAGTCTATAACAACATGTTTTGTTAGACTTATACATGTTTCATTTTTCAAGCTATTGTAAATGGCTTTGTTTTTTAAATTTCAGTTTCCAATATTCATTGCCAGTATATAGAAATATGATTGATTTTTGTTTGTTAAACTTTGCTATAGTCTGAATGTCTGTGTTCCCCTAAAATTCACATATTGGAATCCTAATGCCCGAGGTGATGGTGTTAGGAGGTGGGGCTTCCTCTTCTCTTTTATTTATTTACTTGTTTATGTCAGTAATATAAAATTTTTGTTTTTATTTTATTCAATGGAATATAATCCGTTATTGTCATAGTTTATTTTGATGCTCAATAGTCCCCAAGTTGGCCAGTGGGAGCCCATTTAAGCTGGCTTTTTTGTTCTTCTGACACATTCCTATAATTTTTGGAGCACTTCTTTACTTTCTGATGAAACAAGATGTTCCCGCCCTCATCTTTTACTTTCCCTGACCCAGGCCTGGAATCGGCCATTTCTCCAAGGAGCACTGGTTCCTATTAGTGGCTAATGATATATAGAAACCAAAATCTGGGTGCTAGGTGTGCTCATTGCCACTGGAGTGTCATTACTTCTAAGTTCTTTCAGTGAACAGAGCTTTGTATTTGTATGTGTGTCTATTTATATGTCTGTGTATGTGTGTGTATATATATATATAACTATACACATGCACACACAGACATATACATACACAGACAGACAGACAGACTTTGAATTCTTACAATATCTCAGGAATCTTCCCAGTCTTCCCTTATTCCATATTTGCATCTCCCTTCTCCAACAGTGAGTGCACAGATCCTAGCATTAATATGTTGACTCTTTTGCTCAGCCTGGCAATATACAGAAAGTAGAATCAGAATTCCTGCACCCACACCCGTGAAAAACCAACCTACTGAGTACAGTACATGGTTTGTTTGCATGCCTTTTATACTGAGGATATATAATCAGAGTACTCTGTTTAGAAGTCACTTGGATTGGTTTTTCATTTTTCTTTTCTTTTTTTCCTATCCAGCATGCTTATGTTATTTATTTGGTCAACAGTTAGGTTCATTTTTTGTTTGTATTCCATTTTAGATTTTATTTCTTTCTATTTTTGTTGATTTAATTTTATTCTTACCTTTATATGTAAAATGTTAATATGATTTGAAGAGACAAAACTATACAATTATATACACAGAATTGTCATCTCTCCACTGTACCTTCTACCCCATTTTGGAGGCAACCAGTCTTGTTAGTTTCTGATTTATGCTTATGATGTTTCTTTTTAAAATAAGCAGATAAATGTATACTTTAAAAATTTCCCCTTACTGCTCAAAAGGTATTATACTTGATTTATAGACTCTTTTGCACTGTGCTTTTTTCCCTTAACAATATATCTTGGAAATTGCTCCATGTATATTTACAAATATCGTCCTCATACAGTTTTAAAATTGAGATATAATTGACATATAACATTATATTAGTTTCAGGTGTACAAAATAATGATTTGATATTTGTATATATTGCAAAATGATCACCATAGTAAGTCTAGTTAACATCCATCACCACACTTAGTTACAAATTTTTTTTCTTGGGATGAGAACTTTTAGCAACTCTTAGCAACTTTCAAATATACACTACAGTATTATTAACTATAGTCACCACACTGTACATTACATCCCCAGGACTGGCTTATTTTATAACTGGAAGTTTGTTCCTTTTCACTACCTTCACCTATTTCGTCCACTCCCCAACCCCCGCCTCCGCCTGGCAACCACCAGTCTGTTCTCTGTATCTGTAAGATCATTTTGTTTTGTTTTGTTTTAGATTCCACATATAAATGACATCATATGTATCTGTCTTTCTCTGTCTGACTTATTTCACTTAGCATAATGCCCTCAAGGTCCATCCATGTTGCTGTAAATGGCAAGATTTCCTTCTTTTTTATGGCTGAATAGTATTCCATTGTGTATATCTATCTATCACGTTTTCTTTATCCATTCATCCATCAATGGACACTTGGGTTGCTTCCATGTCTTGGCTATTGTAAATAATGCAGCAGTGAACATGGGGGTGCAGATATCTTTTCCAGTTAGTGTTTTTGTTTCTTTTGGATAAATACCCAGAAGTAGAATTGCTGGGTCATATGATAGTTCTATCTAATTTTTTGAGAAACCGCCATACTGTTTTCCATAGTGGCTGCACCATTTACCTTCCCACCAACAGTGCACAAGGGTTCCCTTTTCTCCACATCCTCACCAACACTTATTTCTTGTCTTTTTGATGATAGCCATTCTAACAGGTGTGAGGTGATAGCTCGTTGTGGTTTTGATTTGCATTTCCCTGATGATTAGTGATGTTGAGCACCTTTTCATATGCCTGTGGGCCATCTGTATATCTTCTTTAGAAAAATTTCTATTTAGGTCATCTGCTCATTTTTTTTTTTGTTTCTGTTTTTTTTGTTTTTGTTTTTTTGGAGGAAGATTAGCCCTCAGCTAACTACTGCCAGTCCTCCTCTTTTTGCTGAGGAAGCCTGGCTCTGAGCTAACATCCGTGCCCATCTTCCTCTAGTTTATACGTGGGACGCCTACCACAGCATGGCTGCCAAGCAGTGCCATGTCTGCACCCGGGATCCGAACCAGCGAACCCCGGGCCGCTGAGAAGCGGAACGTGTGAACTTAACTGCTGCGCCACCGGGCCAGCCCCCATCTGCTCATTTTTTAATCAGATTGTTTGTTTTTATGCTATTGAGTTGGATGAGTTCTTTATATATTTTGGATATTAACCTCTTATCAGATATATGATTTGCAAATATTTTCTCCAGTTCAGTAGGTTGTCTTTTCATTTTGTTGATGATTTCCTTTGCTGTGCAGAAGCTTTTGACTTTGATGTAGTAGTCCCATTTGTTTGTTTTTGGTTTTGGTGTCAAATCCAACAACTCATCACCAAGACTGATGTCAAGGAGCTCACTGTCTTTATTTTCTTGTGGGAGGTTTTTTGTTTTTTTTTTTAAAGATTGGCCCTGAGCTAACATCTGTTGCCAATCTTTTTTTTTTTCTTCTTCTTCTCCCAGAAGCCCCCCAGTATATAGTTGTATATTCTAGTTGTGAGTTGTGAGTGCCTCTGGTTGCGCTAAGAGTTTTAAGGTTTCAGGCCTTATATTCAAGTCTTTAATCCATTTTGAGTTAATTTTTGTGTATGGTGTAAGATAGTAGTGCAGTTTCATTCTTTTGCATGTGACTGTCCAGTTTTCCCAACACAGTTTATTGAAGAGATGTCCTTTCCCCATGGTATATTTTTGGCTCCTTTGTTGTTAATTAATTGACCACGTATGCTGGGTTTATTTCTGGGCTCTCTGTTCTGTTCCATTGATCTATGTGTCTTTTTTTATACCAATACCATACTGTTTTGATTACTATAGCTTTATGATACAGTTTGAAATCAGGGAGCATGATGCCTCCAGATTTGTTCTTTCTTAAAATTCTTTGGCTTTTCGGAGTCTTTTGTGGTTCCATATGAGTTTTAGGATTGTTTATTCTATTTCTGTGACTCGTTCATTTTTATAGCTGCGTAGTATTCCGTTAGTGTGTTCAACCATTCTTCTATGTACGTGGGAATTTTGGTTGTTTCCAGTATTTTGCAATTAAGAATAAGGCTGCAATGAAATATATTGTTTCCTTTTTGTACAGATATATCTTCTATATAAATTCCTACAAGTGGCATTGCTGGGTCAAAGGGTAAATAAGATTGGAGTTTTGTTAGATATTTCCGAATTCCCTTCTATAGGGGTTGCACTGTTT